GCTTTAAAGGTAATAACCAACACCTTGAATTGAGTCTGGAGACCAATTGGTAGCCAGTGCAGCTCGCGGAGGATAGGTGTAACATGGGTGTACCTCGGTACATCCAGTATCGCTTGCGCAGCTGCATTCTGGACTAGCTGTAGTCTCCAAACGCTTTTCAAGGGTAGCCCCATGTAGAGCGCAATTGGCTGTAGCAACTTCTAGGTGACTTTCATTTTTTTGGTTATGAAAGTTTACTCTGAAGTCCAAAAAAGTGACATCCTATATAATATTCCTACTAACCAAATAATTACCTTAAAAAAACCCAGTCACTGCATCATTGGAATTAAATCTGCATCGATTATGTTACAAGATAACATTAGCTGGATAAGTCTTTAGCTCAACAGAATGAGGAATTTATATCCTTCAATTAGGTTTTATTATTAAATCCTATTTAATAATCTCAGATGCTAATATAAAAGGTAATGGAGAAAAGATTAGGTTGTATGGAGGGAGGAAAATAGCTTATTTAAAAAAGAAAATTGTTGCCTTTATCTCATATATGGAGAAAAAAAAAGATCATCCAAAAACTAAAGTAGTTAATGTTGGCCACTGGTTTTCTTAGCTAGCGTTCTTGAAAGAATTGGACAGATTCTGTGGCTATAGAAAAGTCCTTGCTATCCTATGTTAATAAAGCAATTATTTCATTATAGCTGTATTGATAAGCTTCTCCTTTGTTCTTTCCCCCCTTTTCCAGATTGACTCTAAAAATGTCCTTTGGGAGAGATATGGAGCTGGAACACTTTGATGAGCGTGACAAAGCACAGCGGTACAGCCGGGGGTCACGGGTGAATGGGCTTCCTAGCCCGACCCATAGTGCCCATTGCAGTTTCTATCGAACCCGCACCCTACAAACCCTCAGCTCTGAGAAGAAAGCCAAAAAAGTCAGTTTCTATCGCAATGGGGACCGATATTTCAAAGGGATTGTATATGCCATATCTCCTGATCGCTTTAGATCTTATGAAGCCTTGCTGGCTGACCTGACCCGAACTTTGTCTGATAACGTCAATCTGCCCCAGGGGGTGAGAACCATCTACACTATTGATGGAGCAAAGAAGATCACCACTTTAGACCAACTTGTGGAAGGTCAGTTTTTAAGCAAGGGATGCAATGTTCCTGTGTAAATTGTTCATTCTTCTGCTCATGATCTCCTTTATGATTCTCCTTTTCATCGCTCCTTTTGCCTCAGAACAGCAATCTTTTGGGGTTACTGAGTGTCATACTCCATTTTGTTTTTTTTTAAATATTCCTTCACATGGGAGAAGGTTCAACACACCTAAGGGTTCCTAGGCTTGCTGAACCTTTATGCCTTTATATGGAAGGTATTGTTTTAGCCCATTGATGAGAACATTTATGTGCTTATAACAGATATAAGAGAAATGATGGTATAGTAATGAGTATTACATGTACAGCTCCTCTACCCTTTGGGGCCTCGTTTTCTTCTATATTGGAAGAAACAGCAGCAAATGAGTCATAGTGCCAGGAGTTTTTCCACATAAAATGATACTTATGAACACGTCTAACACTGGCTCAGTTTCCTGTCCCACCTGACTTTCTCCTCCTTCAAAAGAATAAATAGATGGGTAGCAGCCACACAAGTAAGCTCTGGCTTTCAACTTCATTATTTCCAAAATAATTCCCATGGAAACTGTTTGGAAATGAAAATGCTGTGAATGCTTTGTATGGAAAAATGCTCTTGCTTACACACACATACACAAATTAATAATTTGGGGGATCAGGAAGGAAGCACTTTGTCTTCTGGTGAATGACTGAAACCACCACTATTAATTTTGTGAATAGTTGATTCTTCCATGATAGCTATTTTTTAACACCCTGTGTTACCTTCCTCTTTTTTAAACATAAGGAATTCAGATCCCGGGTGTATGGCAGTTTCTATAATTACATTTAACAAGGAAGCCTCTCCTATTTTGGTTTTACAGAAGTTATTTGCAGATTTTTCTTATTGCATATGCAATTTCTAAACTGCTTACATAAAGCAGTTGAGAATAAAGTTTTAAACAGTAGAAGTTGCAACTTATTTCTAAGTTGATATAAGATTTTTGTTTGTCTAGTTGTATATTTTAAAACAGGTGGAACCTTCACAGGTTTTAATGGCAATTTTTTTGCCCAATTGTTGGTTTCATTAAGCTGTTATATTTATCTGGCTACTTACCTGATTTTGTAAAAAAAAAATCTCATGGCAAAGCAAAAGCATGCAATATCTTTATTTCTGATTTGTATAGATCTTGTAAACCAAATTCTATCTAAACTCATATATTTAATCAGTGGACATTGATGGATATTTTTTGTCAGTTATCATTCCTGAACAAGTAAATAAAGTTATCATTGGTTTAAAGCTTCTCTTTTCAAGGTTTAACATTTCAGATTTTTACATTTTTTTTCTTGGAACTTTGATTCTAGTCATTAGTCATCCTCATGTTATTCTCTGAATCTATTCTATGGAATGACCAAAGCAAAACGAAGTGGCAGCATTATTTTCTGGGATTTGGAAAGAGTATTCTTTTTATTTAATCTAATATTTCATTTGTCCTTTTTCACAATACTCAGTTTCTAAGCATTTGGCATTCCAAAATCTTTTTCACAAAAACTATTAGCAAGCTAGATAGCCATTTTCCTATACTGTGGTTATTTTGTTCCTTAAGTCAAGAGCGTTACATCTGATTACGTTAAATTTTATGTAGTTATTTTGTTTTGCATAGCAAGGATGTTTTAAATTGTATTTGTTTTCTAAGATAGTTACTGTACCCACTTTTGTACCCATCTACATGTTTGTTAAGAACTTTCTCCACCTTTTCATCCAATTCAGATTAGAGTTTCAAGACTGAATTTAGATTTTTCTTCCAGTTTGGTGAAAAACTAATGATGAACCTTTCTTAAGGATTTCGCTAATAATTCCCTAATTTCTTCTCATATCCTAAGAGGCAATTAATCTGTCTCCAATATTTTAGCAATTTAGTAGTCTACTTTTTGCAGGATCTATTAACACTTTCATAGCAAAGCCTGAATTTCATTAATTAAATCAAAATAAGGGTTTAACTGTGAATGTGTAAGGGTTACAAGTAATAAAACTAAGTAGTGGGCATCCCTGTACATTAATATTTTTTCTGCAGGGGCAAAAACAGTTTAAAATACTGGCAAAGATTAAAAAAACAGAGATTTTGCAAGGGCAAATCATAGGTGCTAGATGGAGAAATTCTATGGCTTTCTAGCACCCATTAGAAGCAGTCTAAAATGATTCAGATACTTTTATAAATCAAGTTATCAGCTGCTGTTTAGGAGTCATGTTTCTGCTACATTTTTGCAGTTAACTGTACTGCACTGTATATCAGAATCTATGTCTTATCCAGATGTCCTGCTAGATTCAGTTCTACTTTCATAAAGCACTAACCGCATTTTTAAAATAATATTTTAATAAAAGTTTACAGATACAGAGATAAACTAATACAAATGTAGGAAAAATAAAGTTGTATAGTGAAATGACTTTACCTTTCAACTGGACAAGTAGAAACAATTTCAATAACTTTTCATTTTCTCTGATGTTCCCACAAAAAAATCTGTTCCTATATTTTAACTCTTATTCATAAACTAATAAATGTCATTCAATCCTAGTAAGCAGAAATCCACTAAGAGCTACAAAAACAGCAACACATATATTTTAACCTTGATCAAATAAGCCAATTTTACAGTCTTTCCTTTTGTTTTTAAGAATCTTGATATTTAATCTGTTTAAAATGTCTCATAGTTGATTTTTTTCACTTCTCAAAAAATCTTTTCATTTGTTTAACACATCTTCTGTAAGGTAAGAAAGACATTCACATCATTCTTCTGATTATATGTCCCTTTTAATTACTAGGACATCAGCCAGTTTCATTTTTAAATCCATTGCTGTGTCTTTTTTTATATAATTGTAAATTAGCATTTTTAATTCCACATTTTTATAATAGGTAACCTTAAAAATAACTTCTGATTGCATTATTTCCATAAATTCTTCCATATTTTGCTTCATTGTATATTAGTCTCTTTTCCTTTAACAATAATCTTTAGTATCTTTAGTATTTTTCTGATTCAAGTGTTCAAATTCAGAATTCCTTCTAATGTTTTTTTTTCCTACTCAACATTTTCACATGGGAAGATTTCTTATACTTAGTTTCAAAATCTTCATCTATTTTTATAGAATTTTAAACAAACCACAGGAATGTATCTTGTAATTAATTTTGAGATACTATTTCTCAAAAATAAGGCACTTTACTCTGTTTATAACTTTCCAAAACCAATGTTTTAAGCATCCTTTTGCTGTTTATTCCAAAATAAGATTTTTTTTAAATTCCTTAAATTTACATACATTTATTTCACCAAAGATAGAAGGAAATTTATCTAGTATAATGAAATTGCTTTTTTTTTAAGATTCCTAATATACAAAATTTCACTAATAAGCTATTTCAAGCAGTGATTAAGAAAGAAAGTATGCAAACAAAATGTTCTTTTGAAGGCTCCAAACTACACTCTGGGCAAAGGTGGCGTTCCTTTGGCTCCCATGGCTCTAAAATATGTAGCAGACCATTGACTTACAGTCTCCTGATGAGCTCCATAGTACAGAGCACTTCTGAGCAATCCCAGATCATCTCCTTGCTCCAGAGAAGAATTCTGAGGAGCTTATTTGTTTTCTATCTCCTTGTTCTAACACAGTCATTGGCTCCACTCTCAATGGAGCCATTTTTAGTATTCCATTGCTTCCTAGCTACTCAGAAACTGCTAATTTCACAATACTGTCAAAATACAGGGAAA